TATTTTTATGAGACTTATCTCTTTTTACACTGTAAGAAAATGTTGAGCGTCTTAATATCTTTCAAATAAGCTGTAACCTTAACATGGTGGAACGTTTAGCCATATTATCGTACTTTTAACACTTGATTATATGATAATATCATCCAATTTTAAATGAAACCTGGTACAACTTAACACTGTATAAATGTTGTAACAAATATTCACCGTCTTACGACTCAAGATAACAATATTATGGCTCAACTTCGACCCACTTTTTCTGAATTATTATGCGTTAAGCACTAAATAATTACTTTAACAGCGCAGGTTGTGTGAAAAATGTAAAATAAATATTTCTTGTAAATTGTTACAAAATTACAATATGTTTCCAAGTACCCCCTCTCCCCCCCCCCCAAAAAAAAAATTCTTTTCCCCTTAAAATCTTGGAATCAAGATTAACTGATTATTGCCAAATCGCAAATTTTAATCATATTTCGTCGATTTATATTTATAAAACATTTTACTAATCATGCAATGAAAAATAAATTCTATGATAAATATACTTTCAGAATGATATCTCCAAAAAATATTTGTTCCAATAATAGAAAATGTTGGATAGAGGATTCTGTTTAAGATTCGGTTTTAAAACTTTTTCTATACAAAAATGTTTTGATTCGCTGTTGTTAAATAAAATAATAAAAAAAATATTTACTGAAAGTTTTATTTTGTATGGAATTATCTTTGGATAAATGAATTTTATAATTGTGTGCTAAAATTTTTCAATTCATTTATTAAATTCGCGAGAAATAGCGAAGTACTCAAAAAGTGAAATTAGGACTTAGGGGTCCAAACTTTCAAACCAACTCTCAAGACCATATTTCCTAGATTACAATTACCTCCCTACACCAATTTTAAATGTTCAGAATTCAAATTCGTCCAAAAAAACTATATTTTTTTAGAGAAAATGCGTTTTTATGTCTGATTTAAAAACCTAAAATATCGTCTGGCTTATTATATTTTATATTCTGATTTATTTTATAATATTCTACAATATATTATTATGAATTATTGTACTTATGGTTAGGCTCTCGAACAATTACGATTAAATACAGTGAAAACCCGATCATTTGATCAAAAGTTATTAATTAGTTCCTTTTCTACTTCCTCTCTCTCTCTCTCTCTCTCTTCATTTATTTATTTATTTGTATATCTCCTAGAGAAATTTATGGGTAGTTGCATTGCCCTGAAGACACTTATCATTGTAAAATGCAATCGCTTGGTCTAAGAAATGCCTAGTCCATTCTGTGAATACAATTAAATGTTTTCTAAAAAATCCATGCTTGAAAACTTTTGTTATATTTGAGAAGTCAAAAAAAAAACTGCAAAACTTAGATATACAATGCAAAAAGGCAAAAAATTACTTTTAAATTATGTGAGATTACAATTTTAAAATTATGTGAGATTCAAAAAGAGAAAAAATCGATTTGTACCGTTCCTGCACTTGAAAAGCTAAGTGGATAAATGCTCTAAGTAAAGTTTTAAGGAATTTGAGTAATTTATCTGTAAAGTTTGAATCTATAAGTTAAGAATCAGAAATAGAAATGTCTTCCCTTCTTCTCTTGTTCGCAAGTTTGTAAATGACAAAATATATAAACCTTAACATAACATTTATTTAAGCATAGCGTTCGCAGTCTCGGTGTATAAATTTTCTACGGAAGATAGTTTTCTCTTAGTTACTCGCTAACTGTTTGTTATTAAATGCACTTGGAACCAACTTGTACACTGAAGGCACTTAAGTGTCATTTAGTACCTTCACCCACTTAAATCTGAAAAATTTAAATGCTTGTTAAATTAGGTGAGGAAAAAGATATTTAATTGAAAAATCTCATCTTCTTTACCACTTAAAACCATTGTTTTTTGCCCTATTGAGATCTTTGATGGCTATTTTAATTGCAATAGATGTTTATACTTATTACATCTGTTTTCTATCCTTATCAATAACTACTTTCAATGGTGGACAATGGGTCCCGGGAATGCCTGGTTGGCAGGAAGCTAGATTCACGTTCGTGAGAACGAGAGTTCGAATCCAGCTAACTGAAGACTCCACATGTAGTAAATGGTGACTGGTGCACGTTAAATCTATCGGGTCACAAAGTCCTCCATGTTCCCATAACAAATTATACCTGTGGGGGTACTGAATTGGAGACTGATCGTTCCCCTGTTCAGGTCAAAATTGCGATCTGTGGATGAATGAAGTGATGTATGAATGGGTCCGCCCTATTAAAGGGATGCGGCAAAATAGAATTTCTTGCCATAGATGGCGCCACTGGAAAACAAGAACAATCACACTTCTTGCCTTAATGATCTACGACAACAGCAACAATGGTGGGCAATGGTTATCTCTTACCTAGAAACTATCACAACGCGTCATATAAAATAACTCAGTAAAAACGCGTGAAAGATACATGAATAAAGTTGAAGCTTCTAATTTTTTTTTTATAAAAAACGCTCTAAAATTAAAATAATTCCTAAAAATCTCAGTAAATATCATACTTTGTTATGATTCATAACTAACAATCCTCATTAAAACTTTGGTTAAAAAAAATTTTCATGTATTTTTATTGCATTAGGAATATTTATTATTTCATGTATCTTTCTTAAAATTGCATTATGTATTTTTACTTTATTCGAATTTTTCTGACATTATTACTGTTTCGAGGTATTTCAATCATACTGCCTTGAACATGCCAAATTAAATTAATTATCCGGTTCAAATTGAGAAAATTTAGCTTTTGTGGTTCTGTGTGTTAAACAATACTTTACTTAGCTAAAATGTAAAAAAAAAATAAAAAAATATTGTATTGTCCGAGTTAGTTTAATTCACAGACTGAAGCAACATGCTTCTACAACAGAAATGAATCTTGTCTGAATCAGATTAATTTGCATGAGGAAACTAAACGTTCAAAGTTCAAATGTTCTGTGTTAGCTGATTCCTTTCATATTTCTTTTTTAATCCTTTGACGCAGATGAGTCCCCAGTGTCCCTTTTATATTTTTTTCTCACTCTCTAATTACAAGCAAAAATATATTTTTATATTTTTTACATATGAAAAACCGTCGAACAATTGCTAAAAAATCTTATAGATTATCAGAATTATATTTGTATTAAAACATAAAATCGAAGAAAAGTAGGTTTTAAAAAAAATTCTTTTCATTCATATTCAAAAATGTAGCAATAATTGATTTTGCAAAATAAAGAAATTTCACTGTTGAATAACTTTTTCTCTTTGATTTAAATAAATGCAAATAAAAGTAAATTTGAAAAATCATTGTTTGGAAGTGAGCCGTGTTTGGAAAAATGTTACCTTTAACGTAGAAAAAGACAACGGTGCTTCATGCTGTTTTCATAACCGACAATTATTGCAATGCTAAATATAAAATTTTTCATTTATGTTGTCATAAATTTATACAAAATAAATAAACAAATTATGAAATATGTCTAATAAAAATTCTGCTTTAAAAGATTAACCACTATGTAATACATAAATATAATTCATTGTTTTAATAAAGTTTTAATTGTATTCTATTCAGTCTCTGTTAGCTTCTTTTGGCAGTTACTGCCAAATAACGGTCTTCATTCAGCATCATAACTCGGGGTCAGTACTGTAATGTCTACTGACATTTCCATCCTCTTGGAATCGTTGCCAAAATACTGGGCAATTCCAAGTTCTTCGGAATCTTCCATCTGAGTATTTTCCCACATTTTAGGCGGCCGATAATTCCACTTCGAAAAAATTATCCTCATTCGTCCTCTGTGTCATAACTATTCGGTTATAGTCGAGTCTGTACTGAGTCGCTTGAACAACTTATTTCTTTGCCACCATTTCTTTTATACCCCTCTCTTATACACTCGTTATTGTGATGTACTATTTGTATATTAATTTTGAAGAAGACAGGTGAGTTAATTTTATAGGGGAAATCTTTACTTTAGAGTTTTCCTTAATTTATGGACGTGAGTCTACGTGCATATATATATATATATATATATATATATGCNAATACTTATATAAATAAATAAATAAATACAAGAAAACACGAAGAAAGTTAAGAAAAACAATAAGTTTCATTTATTGCGCTTAAGCTGCAAGTAAACAGAATTCATTAGATAAGTTCAAAATAAAGATAAAACAAAGAAAAATAATAGACATATGAAAAAAAAAGGGGGGGGGAATAATAAGTAAAAAAATAACAAACAGATTAAAAAAAAAAAAGAAAGAAAAAAAAGATTAAATTTTATTTTAAAAAAACGGGAAAGAAAAGATGTAATCTTTTTATCAGCCCACACGATTATATCCGCAAAACAGAGTGCTTTCTGATATTGTATCAATAATTGATGAAAAGTTTATATCTTTTTTTTCCCCGGTTTTTTTAAATAAAATTTCATCATTTTTTCTTTTTTTTTTTAAATCTGTTTTTTGTTATTTTTTTACTTATTATTTCCCCCCTTTTTTCATATGTCTATTATTTTTCTTTGTTTTATCTTCATTTTGAACTTAACTTATTGAAACACTTAACTTATACAAACCAATAAGTTTTTAAATGATTTTGATTTCTACGGTTTATAAATAATACATCTATATTTGGAAGATCCACTAATCATTTTTACACCATTTTAAGTCATGGAAAACTTAAAAATACGAAAATTATTAACTTGTTATTTCATTACCACTTTAAATATTATGTGAAACTTGAACTTCCGGGTTCACAAGTATGTATATATACTTGATATATAGATCCTTCTCGAAATATATCCCTCTGAACTGATTTCATTACTTCTCCCTAACCGTCAAAGAAATATCTTTATTCTAATTATTCCCTGTTGTGAAGATACATACTAAATATTCAGAATACCATTACTGGCCCCCAACAATGTTTATAATTGGGCAGGGCAAATGCTCAAGGCTGCTCCCCCATATTCAGCCACACCATTTGGCGAAACGAGGTGGATTGTGGCAACCCCCCGTCGCACGCCGCTCCGGCGGACAGCCCCTGGCTATGATTAACCCTTAGTACGAGGGAGCCGGAGGAGAAGAAACGTAGGAGTGTCAGAGCAGAGAGGAAGGCGCATAGTGCATGGCTGCCCGCGGTGCCACTGCCGAGACGCCCAGAGCCGCAGCTCTACTGCCGCCCGCAGCCGCGATCTCTCCGTCAACTCCACGGCCAAGCCTCAGTCCATCCGCCAACTTAGATTCAGCTGTTGCTGCTTATGCTGGTCATTTCTCCTCCATCAGCAGGTAAATAGGGCACGTGTCCGGCGCCCGCTCTTCTCTTGTTTACACTTTCATCTTCCTTTGCTCTTTTCATCTTCGCTTTGAAACGAAGTATGTTCTCAGAAGAAATATTTTTTTCAGGCCATTTAAATGTATCGTGAAATTGTGTTATTTATGAAATAATTATGCCATTCGTTATACAGCATGAAATTGGGATATAGTTGCTTAGTATTTCAGGAAAAAATGTATTATTTGATTATTTTTTTGTACTTCGAAAGATATTGTATGCATTGAGCAACATATCATATAGTGACTTATCATTATATGGATACTTACACTAATTAGTTAATTTTTTGAATGCGTTGTTTGCAGGCTTAAATGGCAATCAATGATTTGTTTTCTAAAATTAATAATCGTTTAGTTTTTTTTTTTGTTCTTTTAAAGAGCAAATTAAAGATTTTTTACTCACATTTTTAGTTTTTGTATTGCTTCCAACAATGTTTTTTTCAAAACAATTCTGTGCATTTATTTGCTGTGATTATCAGTTTGAATCGCGAATCAATTAGAAATTTACGTATTAATTAGTACAAACTCGATATAAATAAACAAAAAATTTTAAAAAATATCGGTCAGACATGCAGTAAAAATTTTTATAACGTGTAATGCACTTTCAATGCACTTTTTTATTAAGTATGCTGATTGTAGAAGGATTTACTTTAAAGTGCNAAAAAAAAAAAAAAAAAAAAAAAAAAAAAAATCTTTAGAGAGTCAGATAATATGTAAATACGAAAAAAATCATGAGAAAGAGAACTACATACTGCAACTTCAACTTTTTGCTCAAAATCGCTGATAATCTTTATCAATAAAGCGAAAAATATTTCTAAGTTGGTTTAAAAAAGTTTTAGATTTTAATCAAAACAATAAAAAAAAATTAATATATTGTCACTTTTAAAGAAAAATTTGGCTTCACTGCATAATACAGAACTAGTTTTTCTATGTAATACAGAACAGTCAGTAACTGTTTTACACATAGACAAATTTAACCCCGCATAGTAAAATTCGCTAATGTAATTTTAATATAACAGTGCAACTTATAACTATTTGATAAAAATTTGAAAAAGAGATTTTTTCGAAAAATAATTTAATTGCAGTACTAAGGTTAAAGAAAATTATGAAAATGTTATATAATTAAGGTTTAAAAAAATTTTAAAGAAGAAAATACAAAGATCTCTATCAGTAAACATCATTAATTTACTTTAATAAGATTATATATAGCTGTTTAATATGCACCTTTTTAAATTTAGTTGCAAATTTTGACTATTTTTAATTGAGCTATTCAAAAAATTTTCCTCTCTGCTAAATCACGAAAATTTAATGTATCTGCGCTCTAGTTTTAAAGGTAAAACATGAATAAAAGATTGATTGTTTTTGTTGCTTTTAAGTTAGTTTCAGCCAAGGTAATCGAATAAAGCAAAGTATAAAATTTGCACCATACCTATTTTGCTGTAATCTACGTATCTGAGGAAAAAAATTCATAATTTTTTTTTTATCATTCACTTGCTATTTCTGCATATCAGACCGTCTACANTTTTTTTTTTTTTTTTTGTAACGTTTTCAACGTAATAATATATTAAATATTATAAAATCGTTTTTATATGTGGTACCAAATTAATAGATAGGAAAATCCAGAAAAAGTGCGAAAAGTGCTTCTAGTGAACGAAGAGTACTTGCAACAAAGAATTTTTTCGGGAAAAAAAAAGTATTCAGACAGGTGATGAGCAGTTTGCAGGTCCAGTAAAAGCTGCCTCGGGCAATAAGGACTAGGGATGATCATCCCCACCCCTCCCTTTCAAGAAATCCTAAGGGCGTAAACATACATTCCGTAGATTTTTTTTTACATCGAATCATAACTATCTAACGACTCTATATTGTAAAATTCTTCCATATTTATACATTGTTTATCAATAAGCAATGTATAAATGTTTTTTATAATGAATTTTTATTTTCAGTATATAATGGATATAAATTCAATTTCTAAGATTACATTTTTTTATTGATTTATACTGAAAAAAAAATACTTCTGTTCTACTTAAATTAAAAGGTAAAACTTTCTTATACTGTTTAACTCAGGCATACTCAACTCTTGACAGGGTGGCCTGATTAAGTCCTTAGTTGGTCGATGAGCAACTCTTATTCCCTAGCCAATATTTTTTTTTTTAAACAACTTTGGAATATGGATAAAAAAAACTTAAATTATAGCATAAAATTTCCCAAATACAGAGAAAAAGTATGAATTTGAATAACAAAACTTTTTTTTTAAATCCTGAATTTTTCCCTTTTAAATTTCGTAAACAAATATTTTATAAACCAAAGCCTGTTGAAAACTTTTGCAGTTAAGGAATTTATTTTAAATTAAAGATTTAAGTAATTAATATGAAGCAATAAATAATAAAATTGCTTTTCCAGGGGGGTAACAAAACTAGTTACAATTTAATGCAGCAAACAGCATTTCTTTTTTTAAAAAATTAGGTATTTGCATACTTTGCTTTGAATTTATGTGTGTACAATTTTCAGTACTTAGTATTCCAATGTTTAAAACTAGTTGATGTTGTTTACAACAAAACAAATTAATTAGGTTCGTGTTAGTTGATACAAAAACTAAATTGACTGTGGTCGGTCTTCCTCTAATAAATGTTGTGCATCTCTAGTTTATTGTGTTCAACTAATTAAAATGATGTCATTGATAATATATTTGCTAAATCGATAGTTGTTTTTGATCATTTAACTGGCATATTTATGGAACGCATCATAGTAAATGAAATTTATAAGTAAATAAAAATAGTATCATAATAATAATTTTGTATCAGAAAATATTATAAACGCAAATTAGTATTTTTTTTAAAAAAAACTTTAAACTATCTGCTACCCGAGTAGCATGTTTGATGCAAATATTTTTTGTAATTCAAGAATACAATGAAATATAATTTAATACGAATTTGTTTATTTTAACTTTATACTATCCGTTATCTGAGTAGCAAGACTAAGGAGCACTTCTTCTAGAAAATTTTTATTTTACTTTTGAAAGGATTTTGTTTTTGTTTAGATTTTTTACATATACACGAATTAGATTGTTATTCTGAGACAATATTAAGCACTGAGGAAAATTATAATTTAGGAATAGAACAGAGTTACTTCCGAGACAAGAAATTCATTAATTTTGGGAATATATTATTCTTTAAACCTAGTGTGAAGTTCGGAGTTGAGAAAAAGGCCTGTATTAAAATTTTATTTTTATTTTTTAAACAAGAAAAAAAAAACGGTTTTACCTTTGAAACTTCTCAGGTCTGAGGAATAACAATTTGAGCACAATTTTTTTAAATTTTTAACGTTTTAAAGTTAGTCTTATATTTTTTATGAATTATAAATCGTTTTTATTTTAAATCCAACATTTTTAAAATTTTTGAATAATATACCACATGAAAATCAGATTATTTATTTAATGCTTTCTAAGATTAAATGCCCTAAAGCAATCGTTCCATCCCATGGATTAAAGTCATGTTTCCTTTCCTATATCACCTTCAGCGGTACCTGTTTTTCTGTTTTAATGAAAAGAAAAATGTAGATTATATGTATCTCAAGGTCTAACACTTAAGTTTTCTTACGCCTTCCATGACACACTTAATTTATATCTGATTAAGATTTAATGTAACAATTGATTTTGATAATTGAAATATTCATAGTTTCGTTCTAAATATATTTAAACTTAAAAGAAGCGAAAAAATATTCAAAAATGATTTCAATTTTAAGAAACTTATCTTTTGATTTCTAAATATTACTAATCATAAAAATAAATTTATGTTACTGTGAGTAATACTTAAGTTTTCTTATGTCTTTCATGGTGCAATTTATATCCGATTAAGATTTAATGCCACAATAAGTTTTGTTAATTGAAACATTCATAGTTTCATTCTAAATATATTTAAACTTAAAAGAAAAAAAATTTTCAGAAATGATTTAAGTTCTTAGGAAATTATATTTCGATTTCTAAAAAATTAATTTATGTTATCATATGTATCTCATGGTCTAACACTCAAGTTTTCTACGCCTTCCATAACACACTTAATTTATATCCGATTAAGACTTAATGTAACAATAGATTTTGTTAATAGAAACATTCATAGTTTCATTCTAAATATTTTTAAACTTAAAAGAAAGAAAAACATTCAAAGATTTTTTTAAACTTAAAAGAAAGAAAAACATTCAAAGATTGATTTAAGTTTGACTATTTAAAAATATGTATAATCATAAAATATAATGATCGAAAATAAAATAAAATCGAAATTAAAAAATTCCAAAATATATTTCAACTTGTAATTAGAGCATCAGAGAAAAATTTATGAAAGCGGCACCAGTGTCTCATCTGCGTCAAGGTAAAAAAGCAGCAAAATTTTTATAGACTACTTTGCAAAAAGTGAACAAACGTAAAAAATTAAAGTATTAAACTTTTTGTATCCTTTTTTTTCTTTTTTCTTTTTTGGAAAAGTCATTAAAATTATTATTTTTTCATTTTTATAAAAAAATACAATATACCAAATTATGTCTATTTTTTATTTAAAATCTTGATCGAGTGACCTTTATGTAAATTTGATATTAATTATCTAAAGATTCCAGTTGCATATGTATTATATGTAAGTAAATTATTAAAAATTAATGCCAACATAGAATATTAAATAGTGTAATAAATAACAAATGTAATATTACATAATGTAAATCGAAATAAGTAATTCGTCAAATATCTTTTATGTGCGTGGTTTAGGTTAGCGACAATGTCAACACAGTATCTTGTCTACCACTACATATGTAAGTTTTACGATTAAATTTTAAATGAGTAAATTTTCAAACAATATTGAATTAAAATTGCTGCAAATTAATTATGAGAAAAACGACTGATAAATAGTGTGAAGAGCTTAACAACAGTTCTTTTGACAAGAGTCTTTCTTTTCTGAGATCAAAATACTATGTAA